ATTTCCCAGTTCATGGAGAGGTGCGTCTCTTAAAGTCATTACAGAGTTTCTTTGTTGCTTTTGTTATTAAAAGAAAACAAAATACATGTTATTTTATGAAGGAACTTATTTTTAAGCGTTGATCTTTTTTTGCTTTTTTATTATGGAAAAGTACACATAATAAAATATACCATTTTAATCATTTTTAAGTATACAGTTCAGTGTTCACATCGTTGTGTAACCATCATCACCATCTATCTCCAAAATTCATTTAATCTTCCCCAAGTGAAACTCTACCATTAAACAATAACTCCCCATTACCCCTCCCTGCAGTCCCTGGCATCTACCATTCTCCTTTCTGTCTATGAATTTGACTGCTCTAGGTACTTTGTATAAGTGGAATCATACAGTCTTTGTCCTTTTGTGACTGCACTTATTCATGAAATGTTTCAGTCATGAAAAGGTAAGCCAGAAAAAAATTATTCTTGCTTGCCTTATGATTGTGTCCAAAAGGTATAAAACCTTGTAATTAATAATGTGCTTTGATCAGGGACACTCTGTTACTAGGGAGGAGAGGGGAAAGGCGAAAAGGAAGGGAAAGTATGTGAGAACAGGCACAATGGAAGGGACAGCTGCACAAGCCAAACTGAATGGTGAAAGAATGTATTCAGTTCCAAACACATTTGTAGAGAAGAGAGATCAAAAACTGTTGCACGTGAAGTTTATCAGCCAGAATGTGGAAAAGATTGGTTTTATTTAAGATTAAGGTATAAAGAGATAGTATGTGACATCCACACGACATGATTTAACATTGAAAACTGTACATTGTGTTTGTTTGTTTTACTTGGTGCTTAGATACAAGCTGTAGCTTGTTTAAATTTTTATATATTTTCCTTTTTTTTCTTTCTCATAGCAGTAGGTATGCCTGGGTTAAATATGTTGTAATAGCTTTGGTTCCAAAATACAATATTTTAATCTTGCTCAACACAGAAAATTTTCTGAACTGTTTAGCTATAACATATGAAGGCTCAGTATCATTTTTTGACAGATCCCTGAAGGTATCTGGACAAGGAACATCAAGTAAGGAAGCACAAGGGCTATTGATCACTTTAAGCATGTTATGCCATTGGAAAACCTTGTTTTTTAATGGCAGTCTTATGCAATTTGTACGACTACTTAAATGAAAGACCGTTGGACTAGATGTCCATTAAATTTGCTTGTTACCGTAAGAGTCTGTGATCCTAAGGGAAATTTGCAGTGGCGTGAAAGAGTTTACCTTTTGCTTAAAAGGGAATCTTGTTGGAAAGAATTCATTTTTAGTAACGTAAAGGTGAAAAAATCTGAACTTCATACTCTCAGTAGTAAAATTGGTGGCCATAAGCTGTTTTCCAGGTCTGCAAGGGCACTGTTGTCCTCACAGTGGTGATTTGCCTGTGGTTCTCATGTCATAGTGTTAAAAGTGTTTGACAAAGAAATGACCAAAGCACCAGTGGCGTACTGCTGAGACTTCACATAGAACTTTCTCCTAATTATTTTAGCAATTCTCTTAGATAACTCCTTGTGGGAGAATGATATTAAATGTCTTACCCAACTACCTTGATCAACACTTAATGTAAAGTCATCAGTTTCTCTGAACTGAGATACATGAAGGAAAATGCCTTTTTAAGCTCTGTAAAGATTTAAAGTGACTGTTCTACAGCTGTTCCTCTCTAGGTATGCAAGTGTAGGAAACTGAAAGACCCATCTAGAAATACAAAGTTTGCTTTATTTTCAGTGTTCTTTACTATGAACGTAATCACAGCTATTTCCACAAATGTCAGAAAGTAGGAAATATCTCATTTGCTCCATATTGTGGACCTGTCATTGCGTAGTTCAGTGTATAGGCAGTCCCATCTGAAGATGGGGCCATCACTGCCCTTATCTGCCTCTGCCTCCAGCTCAAGAGCTCAGGAAGCTCAGGTTTGGAGGAACTCACTGAGACCTGGTTTTAAGTGGGGCCCACGGCTCAGATTTACATCAGACCCTGAGGAGTTTCTAACTACCCTGATTATAAAAGCTGAAGAGCCTAATTATTAATTTCCCTCCTTAAGGTATTTGTGTTTTTCTCCTGCTTTAAACTGGTCTGATAGACATGAGTCAGAGAATTGCATTTTTTCCAGGACACACAGCCAACTTTTAATGGGAAATAAGATTACAGATGAACAGTAAGAATGGTTTTCTAGACCCTCCTAAAATCTGCCAAAACTTTGGAGAAGCATAAGAAATTGATTTTGTTTTCAAAGCAATGGGCAGGGGGATGACTTGTTGGATGTGCAAGGCAAAGAATTTGTTACTGTCAATTAAAAAAAATTACACTATTATATGGGATTTCTTATGTTCTTACAAGTTGAAATGGCACTCCACCAGGGTATTTTAGGGCCTCCAACTAAGTATACCTCCTTAGAGCAGCAGGTGAGACAGAACTAAAATCATAGCAGCCCCTCCAAGGGCCATAGCCAGTGGGATTAATTTAATTGCAGAAACCCAGCAGAGTCCTTTGAAATCTGAAAGAACCTGTATGTTGCTGACATGAGCTTAGCTTTCCCTTTATAGGGCCTCTCGTCGGCCCAGAAAAGCTTCAGACTACAGCAGAATCTGTTGGTAATAGTTCTGTTGGCCTTTCTCACAGAAAAGGATAACACGTCTAAGATCTAATGAATAATAGCTTCTGCTCATGGAGCACCTAGTCCTGACGGGATATCTCTCTAGGTGTTATATATGGTTTCTGTTTATTCTTACAACCACCTGTAAGCTTGCTCTCAGCACTCTGTAGCTAGTAGGTGGGAGTCCTGAGCTTGGAACCGAGCTCTGTCTGACTCATTCCATAATCTTTTGTTGTGGGACTCTGCCTTTTCAATAAAGTATTAACCTGAAAAATATTCCAGATAGCACCTAATTTCACCTCAGACATTCTGAGAAATGGAAAAGTGGAGGATAGTATCATTTTGGAGAAAGGATCAAATATAACTACAAATAAAGATGTTTTCTTTACCTCTTATTTTGAAGTGATTTGAGACTTACAGAAGAGTTTCAGGAATAGTACAAAGAATTCCCATAGACAACTTAATGCAAATTCCTCGAGTGTTAACATTTTACCACATTTGCTTTTTTTCCTCTGAATAATTTAAGAGTATTCGTTGCAGACGTGATGCCTAAATACTTCAAAGTGTATTTCCTAGCAAACATTCTATTAAATGATCATCATCTAAATTAAGAAATTAGCACTGATCCAAGTACTCTAATCTACAGACAGTCATTTAAATTTGACCGATTGTCACACTGATGTCTTTTGTAGCAAAAGAAAAAAATGTTTTTTTGATCTAGGAAAAATCCAAAGTCAGTTGTGGCATTCAGTTGTCATGTCTCCTTTAATCTGTCACAGTTCCTCAGCCTGTGACCTTGACACTTTTGAAGAGTATGGGCCATCTATTTTGTAGAAATTCTCTCAATTTGGGTTTGTATAGTGTTTTCTCATGATTAGATTCCAGTTATGCATTTTGGGTGCTGGAGTCCACAGAAGTGATGCTAGTTCTTCTCAGTGCATCCTCTCAGGAAGCACATGACATTGGGGTCCTTATTTCTGGGGAGGTGAACTTCCATCACTTGGTTCAGGTAGGGTCTGCCAGGTTTCTCCACTGAAGTTTAGTTTCTCCTGTGTAATTATTTATCTTGTGGGAAGACACTTTGAAAGTGTGTAAATGTTTGTTTCTCATTCAGACTTTTAAACACTAATTTTGACATCTATTGATGATTCTTACTTAAGATAATTATTACTATGATGATTGCCAAATGGTGATTTTCTAATTCCATCCTTCTGTGCTAAGAGCTTTCTCTTTTCTCCATTTACAAATAAATTCACCCTGGCATCATGCTAGAATTCATACTTTTTTGCAGACTTGGTAGTGTTACACATAAGTTATTTAAAGGATGTGTTTTCAAGTTCATGTTCTGTAATAGTATTGCACATGAAAACTTCAATAGAAAATGAAAAAATAGTGCTGCTTCATATATGACAATCCATGCTAGTTATATCTCTGTTCCAATGATGATGTTTTATTTCTGCCTGTGTCCACCTGTACTTGTCATTGCTTTTATCTTCTCTCCCCTTCCTGGGCTTTGTTTCTACTACAGAACTTTGCTTAGAGTCCAGATGGCTGTGTGTGTGTGTGTGTGTGTGTGTGTGTGTGTGTGTGTAAAATGTGTTATAAAAATTATTAAAAGTTGTAGCAATGATTTCACTGAATCTGTAGATTCAGATGAATGCGATGTCAGAATCTTGTACCTAATAATTACGTCACTGTAAAAAAAAGTCTTTTAATCTTAGGGCAGGGGAAAAGAGGTGACTCAGAAGGAAAGTTTTCTGAGCAGCCATCTTTTGTCTTGGTGTCTTCCAGCTGGTAAACCAGATTGAACCCCTTACCTTATTGGGTTCCAAGCCATTTGCTGCCACACAGCATGTATTCTGTCACTACCTCTTCTCATTTTTCTGAATTCCTTTTGAAGGAGGAAACTAGTTGTTATTGATGGTGTTCTCCCATATCCCATTCTCCTATGAAGGAGGATGAAAAGAAACAAATAGCCCTTCAAAGACATTTGGGAAGAAACTTTTGGGAAGAAAAATGAGTGTGTGATATCTGGAATGGTTAGGGACTGTTTACATCCAATTTCCTGATGTTTTCAAATGAAATTTACATTATACGGCAGCAGTTTGTTTCTTGATTCAGAAGGTATGGATCTGCAGGTCAAATTTTAAACCTCTGTTATTGTCCAGACCTTGGGAAACTCAGCTTTTCAAGCTCAATTCTAGAGATGAGGAAGTTTTTGTTGATTATATTTATTTAAATTTGAGGTTTCCTTCAGTTCCCAGTCTTTCCAACTGCTGGTAAATTTCCCGGAGTCATAAAGAAGTCTCTCGGGATAATTTGCATGCATGACCGCAGTTATCTCTAAATCCTCCCTGACCGCTAATTTTCTTACTGCAGGAGGACCTGATGCCATCGAGCAAAGAACTTTTATGCACAGACCTCCCTGAAGATTGTCTAAGGAGCAAAGGTATTTATTTCCCTCAAATATTTTCCTTTTTCACTAATTACATACACTGTTTTAGTTCACTTTCCATTTGCATTGGGACTGTAAGGATTATAGGTCCCTGTCTTGCAATGTGGACTCAACTCTAGAAATTCTTGATATTGCCCCGGACGCACTTGAAGAACCCTTGTATTATCGAGCAGTGTCTTATTTTTTGACAATAGTTTGCTTCACATTTTTTCTATAACGACTCCCTATTGACATTGTGTTGAACCTTAATTGCCGATGTATAATCTTTTATTTGATTTTATAAAACAGAATTGCCTGTTTGAAGGGTTAACGTGGATGGAGGAAGAATCCACCCAGTGCGATCAGCACGGTGGCAGTGAAGCTCTTCTTGTCCTCCTGGGCAGGGATGGGAGAGAGCGCTCACTACAGGTCTCCCGGACAGTTTTCAAAGCAGTTTCCTTTCCATTATCTCGTTTTGCTCCTCCAAGCACTGGTTATATATAGATATCTGAGATGTTACGTTTTGTTTGATTGATTGGTTGATTGATTGAGGAGGAGGCCAAGGCCCAGGAGAAAGAGAGCCAGGATTATTCTTCGGCCCCAGGTTGAAAATAATCGTAGATAACTTTACAGAGGACTATATGTATATATCGTACAGTTAAGGTTAATAATATAAAATAATCAGAACCTCAAAAAAAGAAGAAACAGCAAACAATGTTTAATTGTGTGAACATGTTGTTACTGTGATATAACATCAGATTTGATTCTCTGCTTTTTGGCAGCCTGGACAGAAAAGGAAGCACAGATCGTCCTTATGAGAAAGGACACATGTCCCAGTTTATCACCCTGCTCCCTGCTGCTGGACATTTTCTCTGTGGCTCAAAGGCTCAGCTGTCCAGTATAGATTAAAGCTCTGAAGATGAGAAATGTTGCTTTGTATATAAGTCTCACCCGCTTCTTGGGGCCTTAACAAGGGATGTATTTAATGCACCAACACCCCCTCCCCCAAAGATCTTTTTAGGGGGGCTCCAGTATTGGTATATTTGTAAGTTTTCACTTACGTCTTAACCACAAAATTTATTGTACATGTGTCGAATTACACTTTCATTTAACAACTGAACTGACCTTTTAAACAGGAAAACCAGAGTTATTTTCTATGAGGAAATCTGCCTTCTCAGACTTACATGGTTACTCTCCCCTAAAACCTGGTGTACCTTGGACCGTGGATAAGATGAGCATTTCTGAAAGCGCACTCAGATAAACTACTTGGTGGCACTATTCTTCCTGTCCAAATAAAATTCCTTTTTAACGACTTAAACTGGTAAAATGAATTATCCCCCTCCTCCCAAGCCATGTGCAAGGTTGTTTTAGATGAGGGTTTTACTAGAATTTTAGCAGCAGTGACTTAGTACCTGACTGTGATAAATTCTTCCATCTAGTCCCCCAAGAACCTTCCAAAGTGTCCTTCTGTTACACATGAGGAAACAAGCTTAGCTGTCCAGAATCTCAGCCAGTCATAGCAAGACAGAAAGGAAAGTTCTATGAAGGCAGGTCTGTGAAAGAATTCAGCCCTGGGAACATGCAAACAGGACATGCCACCACCACCATGGATCTGAGTTAAAAAGATGCACGTGCTCTAAGGTAGCGTGGCCAGCATTTCAGCTGTTTTGCCAAGGTCAAGGTCAAGCATCTACTAACTTACATACTAAAGAATTGGGAAGTAAATTATATTTCTTCCTAGGAACCCAGCTGCCACAATTTTCACTTTGCCCCAGATCATAGCTCCTAGTCCTGAACATATTGGATTTAAGTTTTTCTGATAAAAATCTAATATAGCTTTGCTACCTTTAAATGTCTGCACTGTTGAGCACTGTGAAAACTGCTTTACTAGTTTTATTTATATTAAGTTTTGATTATTCTGAATGGGGTACCTCGAAGGTCTGTTCTGTAATAATTTATAAATTTTCTGGGGAATGAATTTGGATACTTTGCACTGAGTTGTTTACTAAGTAAACTGAAGCTATACTCTCCCCTCGGTTCATTGTTTTTCCTTTTTGATATAAACATCCCATTCACAGTACTCCCAAGTTACATGGTATTCCAGAATTTTGAGGTCTTTTACAGTCATATGTCTGCTGTGGCTCATTTTGGTGAAATGAGAACAAGCTTAATTCTTTAAAAGGAGTTTTGTGTTAACCAAAAGGAGTCTTTAATTGGTAGGATGCTATTTTGCGTTTCATTCCTTATTTTGTGATTGCTCTAGGACACACCCAAGAGAAGCAGCATGGGGGGAGCAGTGATGGATATTAGTTGAGAGACCGTTTCACAAGGCAAGAATGTCTTCCTGTCAGACACTCTGGTGCCTCTTCCTTTCTGCCATTGAGTTTTAATGTGGCTGTTGCACTATAATTTTCTGTTTACTGTTTTTACAAACTGACATTATCAAGTTTTGTTTTGTTTTCAGAGAGTTTCTTGTACTGGGCTCCTTTGGGAAGGTTGTATGGAGAAGAAAGATGGACTGGGCACCAGGAATAAAACGAATATTAGTTTCCACTCATTACTGTAGGACTTAGTTTAGTTCCCACAGCAGCAGTCTTGACAATTCTCTGAAATAGGAGGGTCACCAGAAATTGGAAGAGCATTATGGGAATACCTTTTAATGCAGAGGTGAAAGCAGTCAAGGAGGGGAAAAGCTACCTTATATAATTCTGGGAACAAAATAGTTTGAATTATTTAGAATGATTAAAGTTGAAATAATCTTTTGAAGGCCTCTATTTCTGTTATGTGATTAAATTAAACACTATAGATGGAATGGATCTATCAGTAAAGCCCATATGCCTTATATACATCTAGATTCTCGGAGTTTATTGATTTGTTTTTATACTTTGGAACTAATATTTCCTGTTTTATATTCCCTTTTTATGTCATTATCCTCCTATAATTTTTACTTCAGGGGATGAAAAGTTGAAAAATTATACCAAACAACATGGAAGAAGTCTAGACACTTGGGGATCTAAATTTTTTTTTTAAGGTATATTTTACCTACAGTCAAATTCACTCTTTTTAGTGTATGTACAGTTCTGTGAGTTTTGACAAACATACAATTGTGTAACTACTGTTACCCCAGAAATTTTTCGTAGGCTCCTTTTACTGTCAGTCCCCTTATCAACCCCAGCCCTTACAGCAACCAGTGATCTGTTTTCTGACCATAAAGTTTTACCTCTTCCAGAATGTTTTATAAATGTAATCACATAGGAGTGCCCTTTGAGTCTTGGCTTCTTTCATTTAGCATGGTGCATTTAAGATTCATCCATATTACTGTGTGTATCAATACTTCATTGCCTCTTACTGCTGAAGAATATCCTGTTGTCTGGTTGTATCACAGTTGTTTATTTCCCATTTGAGGGAAATTTGAGTTGTTTCCAGTTTTGGCAATTATGAATAAAGCTGCTATAAACACTTGTGTGTGAGTTTTTGTGGGGACATGATTTGTCATTTCACCTAGGGCAAATACCTAGGCATGGGACTGCTGGGTCATTTGGAAAGTATATGTTTAATTTTATAAGAAACCGTTTAACTCTTTTCCAGAGTAGTTGTACCATTTTGTATTCCTACCAGCAGTTTATAAGAATTCCAATTAAGGAGTTGAATCCTTTTCATTATTTGTCAGTTTATTTGTAATTTGGAGAGCCAGATGTTCAGCGGTCAACAGAAGCTTAGGAGATGACAGAAGCTTGTAGGGTTGTCTGCCACTATCTTCCTACTTCTAGGCAGCCTTTGCGAATTTCCACAGGTCTTCCTTTTATAAGATGTTACAGTATTGCTAATCCATTGCACATCTTCCCGAGGATGAGATATAGAATAAACCAAAATTAATATATTTAGTTTCCACAGTCTAGCCAACTAATTCTTTGACCTAGGAAACGGTTTGGACAGAAGTACTATTGAATCCTTGTCAACCTCCAGGATGTCTGTCTCAAATTAGTTATACGGAGAGAACACCCCCTGCCCCACCCAAAAAAGTCAAATTTTATGGTGTTACTTTTATTATAATTTGAGTATAAATAGTTTTTTAAAAACAACTTTTTGAAATAAATTTACATACTGTAAAGTTCACCCATTTAAAATATACAATGCAATGGTTTTTCGTATATAACCATCACCATAATTTAATTTTCTTTACTCCCTAAAGAAACCTTATACCCATTAGCAGTCATTCCCCATTCCTCCTTACTCCCAGCTTCTTCCAGCCACTTTTCTACTTTTGTCACTATAGATTTGCCTCTTAGGGGCATATATATAAATGAGATCTTACAATATGTGATCTTTTGTGACTGACCTTTTTCATTTGACGTAAAGATTTTAAGGTTCAGCCATGATGTAGCATGTGTAAGTGCTTCATTTCTTTTTATGGCTGAATAATATTCAATTTTATCCATTTATCAGTTGATGGACATTTGGCTATTATGAATAATACTGTTCTCAGCATTTGTGGACAGGTTTTGTGTGGACGTAAGTTTTCAATTTTGTTGAATAAATACCTAAGAGTGGAATTGCTGGGTTATAAGGTAAGTCTATGTTTAGCAGGTTTCTCTACTGTAAAGTTAATCCCTTTCCTTTCCACACTGTACTCTTTGGAAGAAAGTCACTATGTACAGGCTAAACTTAAGGAATAGAGAGTTATGCTCCCTCTGCCTGTTTTTAAATTAGGATTTTTGTCATTTTATTATTGAGTTGTAAGGACCCTTTATATATTTTAAATACAGATTGCTTATCAAATAGATAATTTACATATATTTTCTCCTAGTCAGTGGATTGTCTTTTCACTTCTTGCTATTGTCCTTTGAGGCACAGATGTTTTAGTTTTGATGAAGTCCAATTTATCTTTCATTAAAGGTGAAGTTGTCTTTTTTATCACTTGTATTATTGGTATCTTAGCTAACAAATCATTACCTAACCCAAGGTTATGAAGGTTTACTCTTGTATTTTCTTCTGTTTTTATCGTTTTAGCTCTTAGCATTTAGGTCTATAATCCATTTTGAGTTAATGGTTTTCTATGATGTGAGCTAGGGTCCAAACTTATCTTTTGCATGTGGTTATCCAGTTGTCCCAGCACCATTTGTTGAAAAGTATTCTTCTTAGTCTCTTTGTCAGAAGTCAGTTGACTGACTATAAACGTTAGAGTTTATTTCTGAACTCTCAGTCTTTTCTGTTGGTCTTTATGTCTATCCTATGCCAGTGCTACACTTCTTGAGTACAGTAGCTTTGTAGTAAGTTTTGAAATCGGGAAGTGTGAGTCTGCCACCTGTGTTTTTTTTTTAAGACTGTTTTGGTCCCTTGCATTTCATATGAGTTTTAGGATTAGTTTTTCAGTTTCTGTAAACATAAACACTTTTTAAATGGTTATTATAAAATTACAAGTCCAGGATCTTTAGCTGAGATCATGAAACTCCTATGCTTTTAAAATGGCCCATACCTCAAAGAATACATTTCACCCTCCAGTATACCTGATCACTTTTTAAAATATATCTATACCACATTTTCTTTATCCATTCATCCATCAATGCATACTTAGGTGGTTTTCCATACTTTGCCCACTTTAAATAATTCTACAGTGAACTTGAAGTATCGATGCATCTTCAGGATAATGATTTCATTTCCTTCAGATATATACCCAGAAGTGGAGTTACTGGATTGAGTATGCCTAATACTTTGAACAATCCCCCTAATCTTCTAATTCTTCATTCAGCCAACATCTCTTTATGTACCTGCCATGCGCCAAAGTCAGTGTTGTGTATGGAGTCCATAGTGATCATTAAGATCCAGTTTCCTCCCTCAAATAGCTCCAGTCTTATGAAGGTTATATAGTAAATAAATCATTGAGAAACAGTATTACAGAGGTTTTTGATAGAGATGTTGTGCAAAGGAGTGGGGGATCCAAGGAGTGGCTAGCACTAACCAAGCATGGACTCTGCCTGGCACTTATAAGAGCTTTATGTATATTAACTCACCTACTCTTTATAAACCTGTGTAGGTACTGTCTTTCTCCCCATATTGTTGACGAAGGTGATGTCAGTGTTCCACAGACTTATGAAACCTTTCTAATAAACAAAGTTGCCCCAAACTTGCTGAAGCTCAAGAGTGGACGGAGTATCATTTTGCTTTCAAGCTATACGTTATGCATCTTCCCTACCCAGCCTTCTACCATAATGCCTGGGTATTCCCCTGTCTCCTCCCAAAAACTTGACTTAAATGGAAAACAGGCATTCTTTCAGGTAGGGGCTCTGAGGGAGAGTTTTGCCTTAAGTGCCTTGTACAGTAGATAGTTTGGGGATGGATGAAGAGTGTTAGAGTTTTCTTGAGCAAATATAATCAGGAATACAACTAGGACGGTGCAGGAATGGAGTGGAAAGGCCCAAAATATACATGAATGATTTGATGAATGCTATAGCATCCAATGGAGAGAGGTGATCAAACCATTTAGAGTATTCAGGCTTAGAAATTCATACATAGGGTAAAATTGTCTGCTTTGATGAGGAAAGTGGGCTAGTTTCAAAACACTATACTGTGTGTGGCCTTAGGATTTTGAGGCTGCCTTTCTTTTGTCAGTGACTGTGCAAACTTAACCAAATCCAGTGGACATTTATCCAGCTAATATTTTTAAATGCTGTATTATAGCCTACTTACTAAGTTTGTCATTTTAAGTATTATCAGGTCTAGTAAAATAAGAATCAAAGCAGAACAAAGGAGAGGCACCTTTACTTTAAATGGCAAGCACTGTACCAGGTGATGTTTAACATGTATTATTTAATTTAACTCTCAAACTAGCACTGAGGTAAGTGTACTTCCCCTCTTTTTCAAAGGAGGCAACAGACTGAGAGAGGTAAGTAATATCCCAGGGCCCAGTTGGCCTGCTGCTCAGTTGCCGCCTTTGTCTCAAAATTGCTTCTTTCACTACCAAATGAGAAATGGATTGGGAAGCCTTAGGAAGACAGTGTTTATCGATTTGACCTAACTGTATTCATTTATTCCACAGATATTTACTGAGTGCTATTATGTGCCAGGTATTATGCTGGACTCTGGTGAAGAGGAGAGACCAAGACAGACATGATTCTTACCCTCATGGAGTTTATATTCTAGTGGAAATTAGATTTTTAGCTTGATTTGCATTTTGCTTTATCTGTTGAAGTGTCCTGTTTTGTATATACACATAATCACATGAGCGTGTATGTTTTGCATTTGTTTACTAAAAAGGAAGGGGGAATGAAATTTTTTTTGTAGGTTAAAGTTTGGGAAACTTTATATTGCAGCCTATACTTAGGATTTCAGAGAAACTCTGGTAAAACTCCTTTATGAATTGTATTTATATTCTGCTTAGAAAGTTTTTTTTGTTTTTTCATGTTTTATAATGGAAATTTTCAAATTTATTCAAAAGTGGTGAGCATACTAAACCCTTTGTACCTATCACTCAGCTTCATTGATTACCAGCTCATGACCGATCTTGTAGGGAAGCAATTATTATAAATAATTGGGTTCAAGACTGATATTCAACTTATAGATTAATCTCTTTTATATAAGGTTTTGTGTATAACTCCTCTTTCAAAGAGGTAACTTATTTAGTATTTGTTCAGGTACAAGAAGGTGGTCATCTAATATAAGCTGTGGCATTGTGAAACTGCATTATTAATGTTTTAGAATGGAAGCTTCTTAAGACGCTTGAATTAGGCATTCGGCTCCATCTTGTAGTCCTTTGTTTAACTAAGTAGGTACATTTAAGTAAGTAACATTTAGAGAAAGGCATTTGTTCAGAATTACCTGTTTCTGCCAGGTACATTTTTGGCCCTCCATCGTGTCCTGCAAAGAAGAACAAAACCAATGGTATCGTGCACTAACTTTGCAATTCTCTTTTCGAGTTGGATCATTTTCTTGTCACCATTCATTGTGCAATTAAATTCATGAAAGTAGAGCAAACTTTTAATCAGACTTTTTTATGATTGCATACTGATTTGGATTTATTTCTTTTGAGCAGAAAGAAATGTACAAATTACAGCTGATACTATGCTAAAATCTACTGAAGAAGTACAAGGTATGAAGGTCAATGGGACTGAGACGGACACTAATGAAGGACACAAGAATGGCAATGTGAGTAAAGGTCTGTCAGCTGGGTGCAGCGAATACCCAGAAGTAGACAAAATCATGGCCAGTGGTGAGGTTTCAGAAACCAGCACACTAGTTTCCCTAGAGCCTTTAAACTTTGTGGACCCTGGATTAACAGAAGCAACTCCTAAAGAAAAAGAATGTGAAGAATTAAAAACTTGTCCTTCTTGGTTGTCATTATTACCAGGAAACAGTGCCATTTCCAAAGTGGACAATGGGAAGGAAGAGTTGTGTAAGTTAAGCCTTGTCTATGAAGCAGATGACAATCACCAACAGATTCTTGGCCACCATAATGAAAAATATGGTTCTGCACATGGCAGTCCCAAACCCATGAGAAATGTAGTTGTTGTAGAAACCTTAGAAGAAAATTCAGAAGCTTCATGTTTCACATCAAGTTCGTCTGGTCTAGAATCCAAAACAACATCCTTAGAAAACTGTAGTTTTGAAGGTGATGGCTTGCTGAAGAGGTCTGTTGAAAAGACAGACAATTCCTGTTTTGTCGACGATCAAAGCAAGAACTTGGCTTCTAGAGAAGAAAATGAACAGTTTTTGAACCCCAGGAGTGAAAGAGGGAAACACTTTCTTGTTAATGCCAGGCAACCAAAAGAGGATGCTAGTGGTCATTGTTCTGGAGAAAAAAAGACCATTGCCTTCACAAAAGAAAATACTCATGACAGCTGTTGCACTCAAGGCAGTATCCATACAGACAGCTCTAGTTCTTTAAAGCCCAGTTCTTCTACCGAAGCCACAGAAATAATGTTTAAAAAAAAAGATTTGAAAATCACTTTAGACATTCAAGGTAGCTTAAACCATGAGGACCATGGAGAGACTTTGACTAATATGAGCCATCTTGGCAGACACTCTGAAGAGAGCAATTTTTCCTCCTTGATGCAGATTGAGGAGCCAGAGCAGGCAACCACTATCAAGCCCCGTATGTTAAGTGAAAAGATTTACAGTAAAGACTCTGACTCCTTAGTCAGCATCCAGAGAAATCTGGAAGGCAACACCCAGTTAAACGAAGTATATAATGAAGTTATGATTGAAAAAAAATCTCCTGTGAGTTTAATGCCAGAGGACCAGATAAGTCCTGTAAATGAGGAATCAAAACCCAAGAAAGACACTGCTCAGTTATCACCGTCCCTAGAATTTGATTACAGACCTGAGTCAGAAAAATCTGTACAGACCTCATATGACAATATTCCACATTTAGATAAACAGAACATTGCCTGTGAGATGAATGAACCACCTTGTACTGATGAACTGGTTGTAAACAAAATGGAAAGTGAATGTGTTTTAAATCAAGTGTCCCTTAATTCTCAAGAGCGTGTGAAGTTGCCAACTGACAAAGAGATGCCTTTAGCAACAAGCAAGGATTCCCAACAGAGCCATCACCCTCCATTAGAGGATGAAGCAGATGTCATTGCTGATACTCAAACCATTCCCATGAAGACAAAAATGCAAGACATCTCTCCACTAGGTGACAAAACCTGTGGTGCCTCTTCAAACAATCCTACCTTAAACATCAAACCAGGAAGCCTAGAAAGAAAAAACAAAATGGCTAATTCAAGAACAGAAGCAGCAGGCTTGCCTCCGGAGGTCTCTGTCATGGAATGTCAAAGTATTCAATCTCAGGATCTCTCTAGCTGCTGTTGTGTAAGAAAAAATGTACCAGAAGAGAGCATGTGTTCTGCTTGTGCTGCTTTTGAGTCCAGCAGAATCATCCTGGATGTTGAAAACTCTTTGATAACCAAGAATGAAACTACGTTTCAGCACAGCAACCTCCACTCCCCAGAAAGAGAAGATACTGAGGAAAGTAGCACCCGTGGTGTGAGTTATACATCAGAGGAAAGTGAACTTGATGGAAGAGAAACGAAAGGCGGTCTTTCAGGCGATAAGGTCAGAAACGAAAGGACAGCAGCCATGTTAAATAGTGAAGCTTCAAACAGAATCATTCATACCACTAATCACATCCAGCCCAGTGAGGAAGGGCCAGAATCGAAGGAAGAGGATATACCCAGAGAGACTATGTTTTATAAATATAACGTCTCTGATTGCGCCACACAAGAACTAAACCAATCTGTAAACATTCCAAATCCTGAGCAATTGTTGGACCAGTCTCCTACTGTTACGTTCTCCAGTTTTAAAGACGTGAACCAGGCAGTTGAAACTCTTGATCAGAAGAGAGAGAAAGTCCCTGACTGCCAGAGTCACCCAAACAGACTAGATGAATACAGAAGCGAAGATAAATCAGCTAAGGAGACAGTAGGTAATGACCAGAGAGAGACCGTCACAGAGCCTATCAGAGAGGTAAGCCACAACCAAAAAGATCTAGTCGATTCAGGCAATCACAACTCATCTGGTGGTAGTTCAAAGAAAGGCAATTTGAAAGGAGCCTTTGAAAGGATTTCTGGTTGTGAGGAGTCCACAGACGGTATGATGGACATCGCCTTCGCAGGCTATAGTAATAATCATACAGAAGGCATGCTGGATATAAGAGCATCCGGCACACTTGATGGTGGCGCATGGGAAGGTAGATTGGCATTACATGAAACCTCAAGGAGTACCCTGTCTCAGAGAGAACGGAATGCTTCATTTGTAGAAATGATAGACCAGGATTCAGATTTCCCAGAGGCTACTTCCTCTACAGTGGAATCTCTTGAAATAAGAAAATCATGTGAAGAGGAAGTCTGCAGATCATTAAAAGACTGTGAAATGGAAGTATGTCCAGATTCTTGTGCCAATGAGATAGAGTCTATTAGAGATCATGAAACAAATATCAAAATATTGGATAAGGTAAATGTGTCTTTAAATTATATTCATCATGAACAGCAAGTTAAAGAAGCATCTCTGACAGAAACACAAGAAATGATTGAAAGATCAAGACTAGAAATAAATTCTGAGTTTGACAAGGAAAAAACCCTTGGAACTTCCTCAGAAGAGTTGATATCTTCTAGACACCAAGGTGAGAACTCTGTTCCCCCAGGGAGCCTGAAATCCATTGAGATAATGCCTTTGTATCCATCTTCTCAAGAAAATTCAGAAGCAGATGTTAATAGCGAAGAAACTGACCTGAAAAATCTTTTTAAACCAAAAGATGGTAAAATGCTTCGTGAAAATGGAAAGGACTGCACAGTCCTTCCTGAAATGAAGGAAAGAGCACAAAGGGATAGGACTAATCCGAATGAAGGAAACAGCATAGACATCAGTGTAAAAAATTTGCCTTTGACAATGGGAACAGAAACTAAAGTGAAAGGAGAAGAAACTGAAGAACATCAGAGGGGACCACTGGGTCACTTAACTGTTGGGGAGGACTCTGGGGAGATCATTACCAGAGAAGATGATCATGGTGATAATAGGAGTGAGATTTCTCAGATCCAGTTGAAATCCCAGAGGAAGCTTGGTGATACTAAAGAAAAAAGCCAGAGGGTTTTGGACTACATGCTACAGAAGGAAGAGGAATATATACACCAAAAAGAAGCACATATGTTATTGGAACAATGCACATCATCAACTCTGTTGTCGGATGAGGTGCAAAACAAGAACCAACCTAAAGATTGCAAAGATGAGTTCACCATGATGAAAGAAATCACAGCAAAGTTGGCCAAGGGCAGTGTCGCTGCACAGTGTCAGAAGTTGAAAGTCCCAGAGGAGGAAAACTTACGTCATCCATTTAAAAAGGACATTGAGTTGTGCATAGGTCCTTGCCTTCATGGTCCCCCCCGGAGAGCACAAGACCCCAACTCTGCTAGATGTGATGAAATACGTGGTGCCTTTGGGAATGCCTCACATCAGAGAGGAGTGCTTCCCCTAAAGAAGCAGCCTCATCGAACATGTAAGAAAGTTTACTGTCAGGAGCAAGTCAACGTGGGGAGAAAAATAAGCAAAATCAGAAATTCTGCCTTTTTAAAGAGTTCCTCTGAAACCATCCCCACAAAAGCACAAAGATTTCTCAGTTTGTATGCTACATCTGCGCCCACACGACAGGAACCCGAAATAGTACCTGCCAGGAGCTTTGTTAGCCATATACCAAAGCAGAAGGCTACTCCGTGCCATCCCTTAAGGAGCCTGAATGTCAGGAAGCCTACCAAAGAATCAGCCTTACTCATCAAGCTATCCAACCTTGCCTCCAAACTGGTCCCAACAACAAAGACCCAGAAACTGAGACACCAGCGGTGTTCCTCTGAACTTCTTCCCGTGGCTAAAAGCTACAAGCGGCTCAGATACAAAAGGCTCCTGGATGGGTTTTCACATAATACAATGCAGCTGAGTCCATATTTGACAGCTGCTGGATGGGATAAGCGGCCTAACAGTAAACCCTTGACACTTTATCCGCTCGAAACCATCAAAATGAGCTTCATAGACTCGAGCAACAAGATGCCATCACTACTGTTTGGTTCCGAAATCTCAGTATCCTTTCATGTGAAACCAGGCTCTGAGTGCATGGCCGAGTCCCCAAGGGCTTTTCCTGAGCACTGCGCTCCAGCGAGGCTTGCCCTAGGAGAGACTGCCCGGTGCCCTTCTCAACCTCCCAAGTGGACCTTTTCTTTCTTCTTGTCCCACGGTTGCCCTGGGATGGCCACATTCAGGGAAGACACTGGCCTCCACGGTCAGGCACATGCCCAAGCTCCTCCACAGCCTCCGGTTCCTCTCCAAGACTGCGGAGGCACTGCCATAGTCCAGACCAGAGCAGGCTGCTCTGTCCTTGGCCTTCACACACTCCTAGCACTTTGTTCCCCTGGATGTTACCGAATCTGGACAAAAAAACGGAGCTTCTCCAGTCACATGCCTACCATGCAGAGGCTCTTCATGACCCAGTTTACACAGGGCTTGAAAGGCTTACGGTCTCCAGCCTCCATAGCAGACAAGGTCTTCTGTTCTCTGCCCTACTCGGTGGGCCGAGTGCTGTCCATTTGGAGCCAGCATGGGCCTTCTGCCTGCCCCTTCGAAATCTCCACTCTTCATTCCACGCACAAGCAGCTGCAGCCAACTCGGGGCACAACAAGCAGGTAAAATCTGTCCCCTGTTCTTTGCAAATGTCCCGTGTTTGCTTCCTGCCAGTGAGGGGAGAGAGGCACTGCTAGAAAGACAGGGCTGTTTGGAATCTGTGTCTGCGTTTTCTGTTTATACCCTGCCAAATCTCTGCTGAGAAAATGCAGATCCCTCTAATTTTCCTGCAGAATCTGGATTTTCTGCAGAATCTTTTTTTTGTACTATTCTTTGTCTATTTGTTCTGCAAGCCATCAAATCTTTTGAATGTCTTTTTCACCTCTCATCCCCACCTTGCCAAGAACAAACACAATTATAAGTTAAAGATTCTAAGTAGTGACAAATAATGTTTTGTAACTATAACTTGTTCACAAAGTATTATACAGCTAGCACCTAACTCAGTGTTTGATGCGTAAGGGATGCAGAAGAATACTTTTAAATAAGTTAGGTAATTATGTAGATATCACCAGATCTAGTTTATGAACCTCTGCGTTTTTGGTTTTTTTTTCCTCCCTTTTTACTTATATATTTCAGTTACAATTGACATTCAATGTTCTATTACTTTCAGGTATATCTGAACCTCTGCATTTCTTTCTGGAGCAGAGAGCCTTCAAAAATTGGCATTTGCATACTATAGTTGTAAAATTTATAGAAATTTAAGTGAACTAGAAAAGAATTCTTATGGTTCAACCTGAGAATAGTTAGATATAATTTCACCAATATCATTTTTCCTTCTAATTGAAAATAGAAGAAAAAGAATTTGAGTTACATCCCTAAAGATCTGCTTTAGACATAATAGATAAATCCTCCTATTTGTAATCCTTTGGATAAACAGAAACTTTGAACATTTTTAGTTTGCTCTTTCCATTGCTATAGTTTAAAAATTCAACAACAGAAAAAGCCTTAACATTCCTAATAGCCTGCGAGCTCTGTGTATGTGGGCAGTCTCTTCAGCAGAATTATACTGTGTCATTAAAAAGCTACTGGTGCATGTTATGAAGTTCCCCCAGTCATCTTAGCAGAAAACTAAGCAGATAAATTTAAGGAGTTTCAGAAAAATGCCCCAGAACCTGAATGTAGCTGATCGAAATTGAAAGATGAATTACTATTATAAGTGCTTGTCCTATAGTTAATAGAAAAATGTTCACTTTTTATAATGCAATCATAAAAGTATATTAGAATGAACCAAATTGTGTTAAATGATGGTATACTGCTTTTGTTGTCTAGTTTGTTGATATGCCGCTGCGATCTCTTAATTGCTCTCTACTCTATGTCCTTTAAAAAATGTTTATTCCTAAGGTTAGTGTAGAGGGAGGGTAGTTATTCATTTCATCTTGGGAAGGTGTTGTGACCCTTTGGCGCCTTTTTTTCTTCCAGAACTCTTTCCTACCTGACGCTTCTGTTTCCTCGTGTGGAATATTTTCTCTCTCCCTTACTTTCTATATCTGGCATTTTATTTTATTTTTTAATTTTAGTTTTTTTAATTTAATATATCGTTTATTTTTTAATTCAAGTGGAAAATGGAAGTGTGGTGTTTTCCTTTTCATTTGGCTCTAAAAGGACCTTAACATCATATGCTTTGGCTTTGAGTCTAGAAATCTTCTGTTTTTCTAAGCACACTTAGAAATATTAAGCATGATAAGTTGGGTAGCCCCAAAAAGCAAGACTTAACAAATATCAAGTTGTGTTTCCATAGAATATTCTTATTTGAACCTTATTCTCCAGCACTCTATAACATAGGTTGAACAGGCATCTTTTTTGCCTTTTTTATAGATGAGCTTGAGGCACGTGGTTTTTTTCTAACCCAGATCTCTTAGCTGGTTAATGTTTCTGCTGAGCTCTCCTGCAACCGGGGTCTCCCGATTTCTGATTTGGTCAGCTCATTTTTCAAGACTTTACCCTACTGCTCTTTCCTTGTATCAGTGCTCCTAGGGGAATCTTAAGTTAGTGCTAAACATCCTAAAAATCTGAATTATCTGTTTTTTCCTAGCCATAGAACAAATTTCTCTTCTAAGAGGAGACGGTTGTAAGTTCATCATACAAACATCTAATTAAGTACTGTTCTAAATTCAGTAGTAACTGATACAGGTTTATTTTGAGAGACATGAAAAGCTCTCCAACATTGCATATTAATATATCTATATAAGTGATTATTAATACTATTACAATTATTAAAAGATTAATTATAAAGGAACCGACCATCCTGTTAACTGTTTCCTTCTGCATAGCCATGTTTTATGTGGAACTTGGCTTTAAAGGAATGAGATTTTCTTCATAATTTTGTGTAAGGTTATAGAAATTGGTAGCTTTTATTTTAATAGAGTTAATACCAAGCTGAATATACTATAAGATTCTTATCTGTAATTAAAAAGGAAACTTTAATGTACTTGTTCATCAGCTTGATTAGAGGGTATAAGACTCAGAATTATTCTTGTTCCCCTCCTTCTCTTACTGTGCTCTGTTTATTTTACCTTCTTTCCAATTCAGTTAGAAAATAATCTTCCTGTCAGCTTGCCTCCATTCCAGTAACAGGCACATAAATGTAATTCTCCTAACTGGGAGGTTTTCATCTTTCTGAGTGACTGACATTTCTTGTCTTCCTAAGCTCTAATTGAATGTGATGTGCCAAACTCGCAATGGCATTTTTGGCAAAATTTTTCCTGTTGTTCCACTGCCCTCACCTATTGTTCTCGTACTTTTGCTTCACTTCAGCCACACCATGTTACCATATGTGCCTCTTCCGGGCATGGAAGCTACGTACAACACCAGTGGCAGTCAGATGAGGTAAGCCCCCAGTGGCACCTGCATGGCACATGAAGGCCTGCAGTGTGTATGAGTGAATGAGAGAGAGAGAGAGAGAGAGAGCGCACGTGAGCGAGCGTGTGAGGGAGCGCTAATGAATGGCGTAGGTCAGGTGTGGCGTGATTCTGAGCTCTTGTTCTTCTGAACCTGATCTACATTTCTCAGATGAACATCTGAGATTTAATCTCAGATTGAACTTTAGATTCAAATGTGTTATATTACAAATAGCAACTAAGAATATGTGATCAATGCCAGACATGGGGGAGGAGAATCAATATCATTTAGCCAGCTCATTGTACCATAAGTTCTCTCTCGAGCTATTTCTTGATCATTTAGTCAACTTCAGTGTCTGAATGAGATCAGTCTCATCTGAGCATATTTCTTTTGTTTCGTTCACTAAATGTCTTCTTCCTGCTCCCCTCAAAAAGTCTGTTCCTTTTTACATTTTTCCTTATTCAATACATTTTCATTGTTTTATTGCTCTATACCAGTGAGGTGCCTGCCCGTACTCTTGCAAATTTTTACATGTGCAGACAGGGCCTGTGCCCAGAAGGGACTAGAGAACAGGTTGGCTGGAAATGTCATTGCTAGAAAAAGGCTTCAGCCCTGGTCTGAGTGTTAAGAAATTGAAGGTGCTGAGGTAGAAAGTAAATCCGCTCATATTTTCTTTTCTGGTTTTCTCTCCATGGTGCTAGGCTAGAGCCTCCATTCCCTGCCTTGGTACCAAAGTCTTGCTTGGTAACAGACTCAGCTGTCAGCAAGCTCCTGCTTTCAGCCTCTGAATTCCAGGTTCCTGGATTTGATGAACTGGATGGTGTGACAGCAGCGTGCCCCCATCCACAGAGTAGCCCTCCGGAACAGAAAGAGGTAAATGTAAAGTGCTGGTTGGGACAGGTGACAGTGGCACTAGAGAGGTCCATCCATAACTGCAGATCACATGATAGATACAGAGAATCCCTGAGTATCTTTATTTACCATCTTTAGCTTCAGCTGAGACATTACCAAGACAGGAGGTTTTCCATCTGGCCACTAAAGGATACCCTGGATCTCTTAATCTACTTTGTTTCCCAGACTCTTTTTTCTTGACAACAGTGTTTAGAGAATTTAACAGTGTTTAGAGAATTAGACTGCAGAGCTGCTTCTTACATTTAAAGAGGATGAATGAACAATGGTGTTTTTTAATTTTGCAGCATCTACTGTGTCCAGTTGCACACTTTCATATTGATAACTCAGTATCTAAACTGAATGTGCAGTTCTCTTTTATTATAAAAGGAGTTGTTGAAAACAGTATTGGCAGGAGTAGGAGGGGAAGCTTTGTCATAAACTACTTATTAGAGTCATCTATAAACTGAGGAAGGGATATCTTGAGTGTCAAGAAAAAGGCTTTATATGACCATCTTTCTTTTCAACCCTTAAAAATAGTCTGAGCCAGAGAAGAGGCCAAAGAAAGTCTCACAGATTCGCATCCGGAAAACCATTCCAAAGCCAGACCCTAATCTTACCCCCATGGGCCTTCCTCGACCCAAAAGGTGAGCTCTTTTCTCTAATACGCATAGCTTCACTTTTTTGGAAAATTGTTTGGCAGAATAAAATGACCTTTTAAATTACCATACACTCTGAGCTATTTATCATACCCCTAGGAAATTATTCAAAAGAATTCATTTGCAGTGTGATCAGAGATTTACGTGCAAGGATATTTAATGCATTCTTATGCAAGGATATTTAATGCATTCTTAATCATTTTTATTGAGGCATTTGTGCTGGTCCTTTGCATATAAAATCTTGGTTCACCCTCCAGTGATGCTGGGAGGTAAGCGCTATCGTCCCCTGGTTTAGTGAGGGTGCTAAAGCTCTGGTTAAGAAACTTGTGTTAGGCCATAGTGTCAGTCATGGCACAAGTAGTTTCTGTCTCACAGGTTTTACCTGACCCTACAACCCAAGCTCACAACATTGTGTGCACAAAACTGAGAAGGGACCTAAATGTCATGAGGGACAGAAGTTTAAGTTTAATTTTTCTAGAAAATTTCAGGTCCATGTTATGGTCTATATTATAGCCTTGAAATTTTTGTTTCTAAAGAGTTATTGTTTATGGCTGAGAAAATTGCTAATCCTGTAAAATGAAGTGGGAAGAAAAAAAGGTAGATTACCAAATTAAGTATTTGTCATGATCCCAAATTATGTATTTGGCATGAGTCCAGCTTTGGAATTTATGCATATTATTATACAGACACACTATTAAAATTTAAACTTTTAAAAGAAGATCTCCAGAGCGATATTTTCATGTGGTGGATTTCACCGCATTTCTCACTGGCAAATGGAAGCCTAACAGTGGTCCCTTAAGTAACCAAAGGTAAATTATTTAACTTCGCCGAGCTTCCAGAACTTATCTGTAAAATGCGAATACAAATTCCCAATGCTTGAGATTGCTGTACAGTCCAATTGAGAAAAAAATGAGTACTATATCTGTTATATTACTTCACATAACACAAATGCAAGAGTTAACTATTACTGTGATTTTGATTGACATTCCACTTTTTCTACGTAGTTTTTATCTGAATGTATTATATTTTTCTACGTAGTTTTTATCTGAATGTATTATATCTTTATCTGTTATTGATCATCCTACCATATGTCTTTTCAAGAGGTATTTTTTAAATATTTCAGGTATCCTAGGTTGAATAGTTACTAGGATGAAATAGGATTCAGAATCAGATATACTCAATCTTGCATTTATATGTAGCTATATAAATTCTGAAAACCTTGTTTATATAAATAAGTAATTGGGAGTGGAGTTTCAATATAGTTATGACATTCAATTTTTTATCAACTTCTTTCAGATCATATGCCAGAAAAATCAACTGTCATCAAATTATATTTAACAGTTTATCACCTAATTTTTTTGAAAGCAAAGGATCAAAAAGTGATGATTTAGATAAGTTCTGTTATTCAGACACTGGAGGCAGTCAGTGTCTCAGTGGGAAATACACCAGAAAGATCTGACCACTAAGTGTCAGGTGCCTAATTTGTATGTTACTCTTAACACTTAGAGGTACTTTATGTAATCCATTCTAAAGAAAGGAGTTGAAAATATACAATTTTAATAAACCTTTGCCTAAGATATCTTTTGATAAAATGCTTTTATTAAAGTATTCTTTTGTCAAAAAACCTTGAAGTTGCAGATTTAGTGCATTAAATTTATGGAAAATTCTTGATATACAACTAAATTGTCAAAGGCAATTTTTACTACACAAGTCCATCAACCAATTCCTTCTCCTTAACTCTTAATTTTCAACTCAAGTAAATGTTTTAATTTTCACCTTTAAGAAAATTAAACACACTTTCAAGAAATAAATTGTGAAACGCATCTTGTAAGGTAGATTTGTAAAATTAAAGTCATGTATAAAAAACATTTTATCCATTTTAATAATACATTATTAAAACAACATGGTAATGCTATTTCTCATTACTGAATTTATAATGAAGCAACGTAATGTGTAGCTAAAATAATAAATCGTAAAGTGAAGAGTGTGGTAGAAAACATGATATTGCTTTAGTAAGTGTATGCATACATGAATCAAACTCTGTTATTAGACTTTTAGGAACAATAAGAATTATGTAAAAAAAATCAGAAATAAATCCATTAATTTATATAAACCTCATGAGTGCTTCAGTATCTCTTGTAAGAGAAAGGTACATTGTAACAAACCACCTGGCATAACAGTTCATTATATGATTTTTGTCATTAACCGGAGATAGAAATTACAACATTTTATAGAGGCTTCATGGGAAGAAAATTTTATTAAGACTTTTTTGTTTTATATAAATTATTTCTGTAGTCATGTCTTCTATAAACTTTTGTAAAAAAGAGACATAGTTCCTCAAAAATAATTTGTACCCACCCCCAAGTGCTTGCTATTTTATCTTTGGCCTTGTTTTATCTTTAGCCTTATTTATAGATCTTTTCTCTCTAGGTCAGAGAATAAAAACCATTGTTACTTAAGCAGTTTTGTCATCTTAGGGGTTTAGTGTGCCCCAGTCATTTTCTAGGCCAAAAATGAGATGCCGTTGTTATATTCTGGATGTCTATATCAGCACATCTCAGCATCAAGACCATGCCTTATTGCAGAGTTTTCAGTGATAGCTCTGAATCTGTCTTATTCATGATAGAAAAAGGAGCAAGTTGCTATAAAATGCATGCACTTTAGGTGGTGAATTTACCACAATTTCATCATAAAATGATGTGGCCAAAAATAACCATGGAGATTTTTAACTCCTGATTTTTGCCATAAAGCCAATGAGGAACAGAACTATAGTTTAAAACCTACAAAACCAGAGTCTGGTCAAGATGGCAGAGTGGTAAACGTTGTGCTTGCCTCTTCCCATGACCACATTAAAATTACAACTAAATTATAGAACAGTCAACCTGGGGAACCATCTGAAGACTAGCTGAACAGAAATCCTAACTAAAGATATAAAGAAGAAGCCACTTCAACATTGTCACATCAAAGATAAAAATAAATAAAACCATGATCTTCCATCTTAATTCCCATTTTATCATCCTCGTGACTTTAGGTGTATGTGGGGTAGAAATGAGGTGCTACAACTTTTTTAGCAATGTGGTAGATGCATTATCTTACTAACTTTCCTTTAAAAAACAGATAACATGCTCAGTAAATATTAGCTTTTATGTGTATCAGTAAATTGTCAGAAGAATAAGGAATTCTTAGAGACTAAAAGCTAAGTGGAAGTAGCAGTCCAGAGAGAAAAGAGGTGAGTGATCATTAAAGCCAGCTTTTGCTTTGAGGGCATTTACAAAATCAGGGTTATACCGAGCTTATGTTTTCATTGGCCTTGTAGGTGCAGAGGACAAAAGACGAAATCTATTCCATTACTAAAATGAGAGTCTAATATGAGATACACATATACACTAAATCAACACACACCCAAAAAGGACAATGACTTCACTATGAACCAAAAATTAAACCTGTGTTCCAACCCTGCTTCAACTCCCAAGAAAACAGTAAAGGAAATTACTTTCCCCAATTTTGTCACTAGATGGAGGAAAAGAGCTCACCCTTGAGAATTAATAGCCACAAGCTGGCCTTCTCACAGATGTGTATCCTGAATCCATGTGGCTTAGGCAGAGCGAAAAGACTTTAAGCTGAGAATTTAGTTTACAGTGGTCCCAGGTTAGTAGTGCCCTCTGGCTCCTGAAATAAACACATAGCTTCTCAAGGAATCCACTGCCAAATCTGGCCTTTTGTAAAAGTTAAGGGAATGTAAAACAACTCCCAATAAAATAAATCTCAAAGCATGGAGGGAAGCAAGATTCCTTGCATGAGTACCAATGGAAATAACAGCAAATCAAATCTGAAAAGACTTATGATACTGGAATTACTGAAGAATATCATTTAGTATATGTTTAGGGAAATAAACTACATATTGTATGATTCCAACTATATGACATTGTGGCAGTTTTGATATTACTAGAATAACAACTATATATCAAGATGCTTCCTACTAGAGGGAAATCAAGTCATAAAACAGATCAAGTGATAGGGGGATCAAGGAACCACCAGGTGGACGACATTTCAGTGTAGACTCTCAACAAAGTCACTCCAGGCAAGATGGCATCTCCACAGAAAGTGTCTGTGCTTTCGAAGTAGGCTGTTGTCTCACCACTTCTGGTGAGAGAAGTCCCTCTGAGGAAAGCAAAGTTTGTCAAGAGCTCTGGAATTCCAGAATCCAGTCTTGGCTCACCAACCTTCACCTCAGTTCAGAAACTGGATATATATACATACTGCTCTGACTTGCAAGTTGGAATGACTGCCTAGAAGCCTGATCTTTCACTTTCTGTTTGCCTATCCAACATCCTCAATCTAATGTAGCTATTACGGTGGTTAAGCAAAGTAGCTGCTGTTTTTTGGAATGCCAGCGCTGAATCACTATGAAAATCATATTCATGTTATTATTCACGTATGATTTCCACAAGCATGTTCTTGCTGAATTGGAATTGAACTAAACTGAACCTCAGTTAAGATTTTCAGAAAGCCAGGAAGAAATTAAAACATGGTGCCCAAAAGTTAATTGCCATGCTCTGTAGTCTCTCCTTTTATCTGAAACAAGTTTAAGGCACAGAAACTTTGTTAATGATTTGCTCTTTTATAATAAAGTTATTACGTTCTCTGAAATTTCTGCTACAAGTGGTGACCTGAAAGTTGACTATTATCTTTTACATTGCAGCAAAAAATTAACAGTAAATGAATCGAATATACTCTTAAATAAATAAAAGGGTGACTTTTATGGTGTATGAACCAGGCATTCCTTGAAGACTGATTACAGGTCTAGGGCAGGAAATGTACAAGATGGGTGTAAAATACCTTGTCATACCAGAAAGTGATGGAACTCTTAAAGACTGCTTGGGCCATGTCAGAGAGATTCAGGAACCAATTTGAAACTCCCACTAGCGACAGATGGAACAGCCTGAGCATCAAAAGGAATAATAAACACAGTAGATTGAAGCATATCAAATATGTTTAAATCCAATAGTTTGTAACACTTTTGAAAAAACTCATTGGCTACATTTGGATGATATTAGGGAACCAGTGAATTGTTTTGGAAATGGATAAAGGAAAAGAACCAAGCACATGACCTGCTTTTCCTGTGCAAGCTGTACCTCGGGGTTACCAAAAAGCTGATAAGCATGAAGTTTCTCTTTAGATAGAATTCTGCCTAATGAAGAAGGAGTAATAGACTGTCACTATGTATGGCCCTAAAGAAATAATAAATGTGGTCATATTTGTAAGTGGCTATTCATATCATAAAATGTGACAAAAGGTATCATGTCCCTCGAGGTGGAAGTATACATCTAAAAATCTATCAAAACAGAAACACCTAAATCTGTGCCTCTGTATATAATTGCCAGTCTCTAGAAAGTACCTACAGTTTTTTTCCCTTACATTTGGGTCAGAGAAACATGTTAAATGACACCATGTAGATGTAATCAAGAAAACCTGAACTGTGGAAGCCACAGGTCTAATGACCTGGTTTCTTCAACAAATAAATTACAGAATAAAAAGGGAGACAAAATAGAACACTAATAGCATATAAATTGGGTCAGTATCGCTCTGACAGTAAAGTTCCAGGGACCTTGTGTGGAAGAAGGGTAAAAATATTGATGCACTCACGTTTCTAAGTTAAATATGCTCGTTAAAATTCTTGCCAACCACTGAAAGAATAGAAGTGTATTTCTAAGCTAGGGGAGGGGAGGTAAGAGAGAGAGAGCGGGGCAGTCAAGGATAAGAAAAGAAACATTGAAAAAGAACAAAAAGAAGCTGTAAAATAAGATAATAGATAAAAATTGTCATATCATTCCCAATAAGTATAAGTGAACTAAATTTCATAAAGCTGAAGAATGGGAGCCTGGAAAAGAAAATTCAGTGCATGTTCACATGAGACTCATCTGAAACTTACCACAGAAAGGTCGAAAGTAAACAAATTGAAAGGATAGATTTGGGAAGCCAGTCTTAATCTCGCTCTTCAGGGAACATGACAGATTTATTTTGTTCTCTTTTCAGGTTAAAGAAAAAGGAGTTTAGTTTAGAAGAAATATATACCAACAAGAATTACAAGTCTCCTCCTGCAAACAGGTAGGTACATATGAATAGGAAGTGATAGATGGGGAGGGCTTCTGAAATGATCAGTGTAAATCTCCAGTTCTTTAACTTCAGAAAGGATATGTTCAGTTCTTCTAATGTCACGTCTTGGAAATAACTTGAGTTGATATTTTTAGCTCCCACCACTTGAATTGGAAGTCTTGGAAAGAAATGTGTGTTAGGTTAGTTAGATACAGAAAATGTAGTCTTTTAGTTTTGTTTTGAGTTTTTACTAAATATTCTGGCTGTCTTCTTCAAGACTAATAGTCATGGATCTTCAGATAAGAATCCAACCCCTAATGCCGAAAGAGCTTCTCTTGGCTGGCTACCTTCGGGTATGAATTCAGTTCAAGTCATTGAAAATTTATTAAATTCCTGTCGTGTCTAGGATGTAGCAGGAGAGCTCTGGTATTTTATCTTACAAGACACACAGTCGCTCTAAGACATTCATACAAGACTATTTACTGCAGCATTGCTAAATGATAGAAAAGAATTTGAAACAACTTAAAATATCCATATCCATTAATAAGGTTCTGATTAAATTATGGTTCATTCTTATAATGGAATACATTGTATAGCCATTTAACAAAATGAATCAGATACCTTTGTACCAAATTGGAACAATCTTAGTTATTGGTAGGTCAAAGAGGCACAGTGTGTGGGACAAAGTATGCGGTTTGCTACCGTTTAAGTATTGAAAAAAAACAAAGGATATATGCAGTGGGTTAGCAAAATTATAGGCCAAATCCAGCCAGTGGCCTGTGAGCTAAGAAAGGTTTCTATATTTTTAAAAAATTGTTTAAAAACAAAAAGAATATGTAACAGACTTATGCGGTTCATTAATTTTAAAATGTTTACTATTTGGACCTTCACAAAAAAGGGCTGACTTCTAATATATGCTTATTTATGCATGTCTGTACATCAAATGACTTGGAAGGATACATGAAAAATGGTTGTGTTGCCAGTGGGGAGGTGTTGCTCTTACTTTTATTCTTTACCCTTTTGTCCAGTTTCAGTTTTTTCACTACATACTTAAAGTACGTATTCATATCTATATGTGCGAATGTGTGTATATGTACACACACACATATATATATATAATTTTTTATACAAAAAAAAGTAGATACTGGCCAGAGGAAACAGTTAAGAAGGAGTTTCAGCTACTTGACCAAAACAGTTTCCCCGTGAGTCAGTGTGTTGGTGATTCTGTTTCATGCCCCACCCTTAGGTGTTTAGAGACCATCTTTGAGGAACCTAAGGAACGAAACGGCATGCTAATCTCAATCAGTCAACAGAAGAGGAAGCGAGTTCTAGAATTTCAGGATTTTACAGTCCCACGAAAGAGGAGAGCTCGCGGTAAGGTCAAGGTGGCAGGCAGCTTCACCAGGGCTCAGAAGGCAGCGCTGCAGAGTCGAGAGCTGGACGCCCTTTTGATACAGAAACTAATGGAACTGGAGACCTTCTTTGCCAAGGAAGAGGAGCAGGAGCAAGCATCTGGTTGTTGAGAAGCAGATTGGTTTGGGGGTCTCAGTGTTAGATTTTTCTGGGCCTCCTTGGAAGAGGTTGCCTAATTTTGCTGTATGCCCAAACCACTCAAAATGCAGTCCATGGATTTTTACCTGTTTCAAGATGCAGCCTTTTTTGGAACTGGTGAAGGAGGGTCCTCTACTTCTACTGCTGAGTATAGAACCTCAGGAATGCTCCCTTTCTCCTGGAAATGGTCCCAAATGACATCTTGCCGCCTCCTCCTACTCTGGCATCCACGGAAAGAGGACACAGCATACCTTCAAGTAACACTAGGATTCCAAGGACTCACAGCATTTGCACGTCCATGTGAAAGTTCTGCATTGTTTACGGTGGTGCTAGACCAAGATTATTTAGAGACGTTGCCTAGGGAGGTTTACCTGGCGTCCTGTCCTATGTGGTCTCACTGGCTCATTTCAGTAGTTGAGGAAAGATGAGCTTGTGATGTTTTCTAATCCTTTGAGTTCGTCTGCCTAGAACCTGGGGGGGGGGTGTGTGCGCGTGTGCGTGTGCGCGTGTCTGTGCGTGTGTGCGTGTGTGTATGTGTGCGCGCGTATGTATGTTGCTTTTCCCCATCATTTTTTTTCTCCCCTCTGTGACTGTGGGTCACTAGTGCCAGAGGAGCCCGTCCAGGCCCCATTCGAAATAAGTTGCACTTTTTAATGTTGTGGTGTAGATTACTTTCATTTGTTTTCTTTCTTTTTTTTTTTAATTGCTGCATGTTTGGAGCCTTTAAATGTGATTTTAAAACAAAATTTTTAAGACATTGAGGAGAAAGACAGTACATGTCTTCAGAAAATATGATATAGGCATTTGACCCAGTTTATCTCAGTGCATGGTATGGGACAATTTTTCCATTCATATATTTCAAGCAATTCCTTCCCCACCTCCACCTTCTAGTGTAATTCATTAGAGGGAGCACTTTTTTCATCTGGGTTCTCATTCTTGCCCACTAAATAGATGGATTTATTTTAATGACAGAAGTAAGAACAGGTTTCTCTCCCAGTCATTTAAAAAGTACTAGGAAGGTTGGGTGTGGTCTTAATGGGTTTTATCTGAAATAGTGTTATGTAACAAAGCTGGGTACTGACAGCTTGGGCAGTGGTACCGGCCGACCCAGAGTGTTTGCAGCAGTCAGAGCAACCTGCTTTGAGAGTGGGGAGAGGTGACGCGCTGTGGTTCAAACCCAGTGATGCGTTTTTGTGCTGGGATCACGGAATTTCCATGGCCAGCCCTCTCTGAGGACACTTTATTGTACTCTGGGCTCCTGTGTCATACCTACTGGAGATTCTGTAGAAGCCGGAGTTCGGTGAGTTTCTTCTTTTGTACCCACAAGAGTCTGTGGGCAGAAGGATGCTGTGTGGGTCAGCAGGCCCAGAGCTTTCATTCCTTTTCCACTAACCCCTGTGCGCCCTTACCCTGCTTCCCCTCCTCTCCTTCCCTGGTGTTTTATCCTTTTTTCTCTCTCTCAAAACAAGAGTTCAGAGAATTAACATTCCTTGGCTGGTGAATGGGATGCCAGATTCAGCCTCAGGACACTGGTCACCTCTTCCCATCCTCCTAGGAGCCACTGCTGGGAAGCAGCCGCCAGTGGCAACTGTCGGAGCTCCAGAGACATTTTAAAGTTAGCCTGTTAGAGGAGAGAGAGTGGTGCCGTCCTGGAATGTGTCTCCTAGGTTTCTTTTGTTTTCTCATTTGTCAGTGGGTGGGGGATGGGTGGGGTGGGGGGTCTCTATGTGCCTTTCCTTTGCAGGTTGACAGTCTATGCCACACTGGAGTAGAAAAACTGACATGAGCAAGAAAAAAACAAAGTGCCACGTCTGTCTTCTAGGCTCACTGCTTCAGACATAGCATTTAGTAAGTGAAATAAATACACACCTGGTAATCCACGGAGGCTTCTAAGGCCATGGCCAAGTAGCATTAGAAGAGAGCCAAGTTTCCACTCTGGCTCTGAATGATGTGAACCAGATTCTACCATTCTATATCCACTTCGCCTAGACTGTGTAGACATGACCTGTGTTTCACCTCAGTACCTCTCCCTTCCTGGGACAGGGTCCTTAGACACTAAATGCTTCTCTCCGTCTTTTTACTTAAGGGAGTGGGATGAGTAATACATTGTGCCATTGTACAAATGTTTTTAGGGAACTCCTGCTGGACAAGCTCACAAGCTCCCAGTGAGTCAGCAGAACCCTGTTTGCTAGCTCCATTGCTAGTGTAGACGAGTCAGTGATGTGGCAGCCATGTCATCTCACAGACTAAACTTGAGGTGAGCACAACTGTGGTATCACCATCATAGAGATACAGCTTCGAGTTTGCCCATTATAATTTGCAAGGGCCAGGTGCAGTGATCTGGAACATTGCCATCTGGGAAGGGAGAACTGGAGGAAACGGAGAGCTGGGCTCCTCCTTTGTCCCGAGAATGTAAGAGAGAAGCTGCTGCTCTGAGGCCAAACCTGTCTGTCTTTGAAATTCTTGCCCTGCCCTGTGGCTAGGGCCCTTCCCATGCTCCAGAGTTAAGAAGGGCCGCCCCCACCCCCTCCCCGCTGCAAACTTGAAATTGCTTACCTGAAGTTGGTACATCGGGTTCTAGCCATGCTCAGCCACACCTGTCTTAACATCTATTTTCACCATTGGCCTAACCAGCTGCAGTGCTATCTGTGGTCCTCGGAGCCTGTGGTACCTGCCCGTGACGGGAGACGTTAGTCGGCTGCTGGTTTGCCACCTGCCCAGAGCTACAGGAGGTCTGGTTCCGGGGTGAGAGTTGGTACAATTTCTGAGTTTGGGGACTTCCCACTGAAGTGGTGGGGAGTTACAGTTCACTATAACTTACTCAACTCTGGAGGTTTGGCATTGTTAATACGGGAAAGAGGAGAAATCTCAGGTCCTATCAGGGTTCTGCCTATCAGTTTTTCACTGAAACTTTCAACTATGGTTTTATTCCATCTACCAGTTTATAGCTATATTTGCCTCCCCCACCCACCTTCCCCTTCTGGTCTCCTTTCCAGCTTCATTTCTCCATTAGTTTAGGTGTACTTTATCACCTGTTAATAGCAGATTATGTCCACTTTTTCTTACTGACCTTACTCTGAGAGCTACAGCTGAGGGAGGTACAGTGGAAAGATATGTAGCGTTTGCCTTACTTGGAGCCTGAAGAGCTCAGAAACTCATGCTGTGAATTCCAAAACTCAGCGCTCCTCCAAGAGCTGTGAAAATCATGACACTTTGTCACAATTTTGCCTGAAAGGGTCTTTTGAGCGGGTGCCAGGGCCAACCTGAGGTAAATTCCAGATCCCACCCTCTGGGCATGATCCTCCCCCATGGCGCATCCCCAGCCTGCCCAGCCACCAGCAGCACTGAGTGCAGGCTTCGGTGCAGCCTAGTGGAACGCAGAGCCAGTGGTCGCCTCCAGGCTGGGATTCCATCTCATAATCAATACCATGTACATCAAGATCCGCGAAAGACCAACTTTTAGGCAGTGATGCTTTTCTCCCATTACGGGGGTGGTGGGGGAGTATGCAGTTGGTGCTTTCTTTAATTCCCTTGTTTTGTTTCTGTAAGCTTTTCCCTCGGTATCATGGAAAGGACCTCTTAGACACCACATTGTGGGTGGCTGTTCCAAAGTCTAAATTGGCCAGAGGTGCGGAGTGACCTTTCTTGGATTCATGCAAGGGAAGGGCTTCTTACCACAATTGAACTTCTTATGTAAAAAGCTGGCTGGGGAGGAAGGCTCGATTTTAACTAAAATCAGATTTTAATATTACATAGCCACAAATTGAGCAGCCTAAAGGCTATTTTAATTGCAAAGTGAGGTTCCCCATGTAGCCCGCCAATCTAGTACAACATTCTTAGATTTGATGCTTGTTCATCGTGTCTTCACAAGCCCTTCTCTGGTGCTGAATTGGATTTGAATTCTTGGTGAGAGGTCTTAGCATCTTTTGGGGCTGGTCTGGGCCAGTACATAGCTGCCTGTGTTTATATATTATCATGGTCAATAGTTCAGTGAAATTTGTACATTTTTTGGTAACATTGGCATACATGATGCCCCTGCAGTTCCTTTTCTGTTTGGTAGTTTGTGACTCTAAAATTCCCACTGTTATGTGTGTTAATTTATGAAAATAAAAAAATTTTTTTGAAAACCTTTCAAATAACTCTTTAAGGCTGTTATTTTCTTCTTATGGCTTAGAAATGAGTTAAAATTTTATCTGTAATGTCATAAGGTTGTATTTTTCAATAGACAGTTTCAAAGTTACAACATGCATTATCCCTTCCAAACGGTCACCAGTTTCTGAGGACCATTCTGTGCTTGAGACACGTGTAGAACTAACTCCACCTCTCGCTGGTCCCCTGAGCCTGCAGTGGAGTTTTTCCAGTTTACTCAGTGGTGGCAGATCTCTCTCATGAGGAAATTTGGTAATAGAAACAGCCAAGACTCATTCTGATCCCAGTCATACCCAATTAAATTGGGTGGGGTTGCTGAGCAAGTATTTTAGGTGTGATTTCTTTAAATAGTGTGATTTACTTTCTCACATGACCAGGAAATCCAAAAGCAGTTATAAATTCTGGTCAAAATATGTTTCAAATATTAGCTACCCATTTGGAATAAGAGCCTGACTTGCTAAGGAGACTATATTGGGATTGTATAAATATGGTGGAGCACATTCATTTACTTGTAAAAAGTTTTCGCCTTTTGGCACAGATCCTTCTCAGCTGTATGTGAGGTTAGGCTGTGTGTCTTCTGGTTCTCATCTCTTTATTTAACCAATGGAAACTGGTGAAAGAATGACTGAAAACATGGCTCAACACTGTACCGACATGTTCTAGAAAGAAGCATGATTCCTGAGGTGGTTCTTCCTCTGTCCAAAGGAGAAGCAGGACCAGTTTTCCTTCTTGGCCTTCTTCCAGTTCTTGGACTTCTACAGTAAAGAATTCTGCCCATGTCACCTTTTACATTTGGAGAGCATTCTGTCTGACAGCTGTCTTTGTGCTTGTTTGGTTTCATGATTACTTGGAGAAGAGTACTCTCCTGTACCTTTTATTTAGGAGGTAAAAGCCAGTTATCAGTTAACCCATTTGCCATTTAGAAGAAAAAAAAGTACAACACACTGCCACCGTTAGTTTAATTTTACATAAACGTTTTTGAGGCTGAAGCAAATCTGACTGGTTTTCAATGTGAAAAGAAAATATAAAAACTGTTCTAGGAGTTATTTCTAAACAGAACTAGTCTCTAGTCTTAATGTAACAGAAATGTATACATAAATCGGATTCATCAAATGAATCTTCGGCTAAGGACTGTTCGAAAACAATGTCAACATCAAGCGTAAGAATGATACATTTTCTAGGATTCGACATTTTCAGTAATTGAGAATTACTGTATTTTGTAAATGGAAATACCACTACTAAAAACAGAATGCTATAAATAGAATAATGTCATTTGTTTTCAAAAACTTAATATACTAGAGCGATGCAGAAATAATAATAAAAATAAGATAATTTTGAGGCAAACTTTTGGGATAAGGTTAGTACTGTAATCCGTGAATTATCTCAGGGTGAACATTGCAGCCACAAGCACTGCCAGCAGATATTCTCGGGGCAAACAGGAAACGGGTTACGGCAGTGTTAACTCATTTAGCGTCTTCCATCACAGAACCTCAGCGTTGGTAGGTCCTCCTGAGAATAAGAGGACTAGTCCAAGTAGACTTAAGAGTCCTCTTTGGTGTCCTGCCCTCTTCCAGTAATGGAGACTTCATTTCTGCAGTTTCTTCTGGGATTTCTCTTGAGAAGTGTTCTAGAAAACTAACTCGTCAAGCAACTCCCATGGTTATAGGTGAGTCTTTCATGACCTCTTTCTCAGAAGTCTGGTGTCAGAATTCTCTCTCACTATCAGCTAATACCTTTGCTTTCACATTTCACTGAGAAGCATTTTGAATGGATCCATTGCAGCTCCGAGGAGACCAGGCATAGTCCCACCTTATGATATGTTCACTTGCTGTCTGTCACCTGTGCCTGGAATGCTCTTCTCCCACACTTCTACATGGTTCCCTCGGGCACTTTATTCACACCTTTGCCTTTCCAGATCAGTCTTCCTAAAAGTGTCCCCTCTTGTTCTACATCCTCCTTATGATGCTTTTATAGCACTTACCACCACATTCCTGTGTTATGTTCATCGCTGTAAGCTCTGGCCCCTCAGATACCTAAAATAGTGCCTGATATATATGGTAGGAGCTCATGGGTGAATGGCCACTTTCATTCACAGACCTTGTTGCTGCCTGGTACACCTGCGGAAGTCCTCTTCATCCTCCCAACTCCAGACAATTGAAAACCTCTTAATTCTTCTCCCTTCAATTACTCTTCAAAGGATATAGCTGGAGGCTACCCAAACAGAAGGTGAGACTGGGCACTTTCTGGTGTCTGATGCAGCCGCACCCACTGCTGACTTGGCGCTGTCTGGTTGGCCGTAGCTCAGGCAGGGCTGGGCCTTAACGTCTGGCAAGGTAGGTGCTTGCGACCTAAACTGGAACCTGCTTCCGTGGCATGTGCTTGTCTGGGTGGGGTGGTAGGGGCAAAGGCTCGTGTGGATAGGCATCATTTAGGGAGTTTTTTCTCACTTGCAGTTTTAATCTCGGAGTTTTGAAAATGGGGGAAATGGCCCCTGAAAGAGTGCAAACGTGGAGGGAAATATCCCTAAGTATTTCAGCAGCTGACGATTCTGGGCCTCTCAGGCC